AATGGAACTAAAAAATCCATTATTCAATAGATCAAAATGGCAAATTAAAATTCCTTTGCATCTTTTTCTCTATGAACTATGAAGTTTTGGTAAGTAAATGCATCAAGAGTAACGCAAACCGTCTCTCTTGGGTTTGTTGTTGACAAAGATTCCATGCACACAGATTTTTTTACATATAAACATGCTTATGACTTTTAAAATCTCAAAAAGTAACTTTGTCATCTTCATCTGTCATCTTGTGCATAAATTATCACTAGCGCCGCAATTACTTGTATTCATCTAAACTGAATTCTTTTTTATTTAGAAAAATCTGCAGCTTTGCTTGATTTCTAAGCTTAATTATGAACTTCAATTCAATTGTTAAATAGATGTATATGAACTACTTTGGAGTTATTTAGCTAGCAAATAACTCCAAAAAATTTTAAGTATTTTTGTTATGAACTCTTTCTTGTTATTAACAAACATTCATTTTAATTATTTAATGGTATGCAGATTGAGGACTAAAGTGGATGGGTTACAAGAAAATGTTGCTAGAGCAAGAGATGTATTCAAAAATGTTATTGAGGGGACAAATAACTAAATCAGGCATGCTGAATGGACAATTAGAGTGACTTTAATTATGTAAATATTAAATTATTGGATATTATTTAGACTTGGATTGTATGTATTTAGATATTATTGAATATATTCTACATTTTAGAATTTATTTTTGTTTCATGATCAATATTTTGGAATTGAAATAAATTTTATTTATTAAATATAAATTTAAATTGAAATATAGTAGTCTCTCAAATAGCTTTAAAATGTATTCAAACAGTTTTCTAAATCTTTAAAGGACAACTACACAAACCTAGACTGTTAGTAAATGTTAGACAATAGAAATAAACAGTTGTGTGAAATACAACAAATATAGTTGTTTACATTTTACAAATACAACACAGAATAGCAGTTGTCTTATGCAAACATACTTAGTTGTCTTCGGAGTAGTAGTCTGATTTACAATCTGACTACTATGTAAAAAGATAGTTTGAATATTTCAATGACAACTAAAAAAATGCGTAGTGTTATTGAGCACTATATAAGTGAAAGAAACAGTTGTTTAAAATACAACAAAATTAGTAGTCTACATTTTTGAAATATAACACAAGATAACAGTTGTTTGATGCTATTTTTGTTTAGTAGTCTTCTAAGCAGCAGTCTGATATATCTTTCAACTACTTTTGAAATTAGATGTCTATATTGTTGAACGACAACACCACGCAATAGAAGTTTGAAGTCGAAAACAACAGTAATATTCATTATAAATACACAACAAAATATCACAGTTGTCTTTAACTCTAGAAAACAGATGTTATACTCATACGAGGACAACTTCAAAAACATGTACTCTGAAACATCACAAAATAGGTGTCATCAACTGTATTACACAATTGTTTTTAAACAGTAGTCTGTAAACATATCAGACAGCTGCTCGGAAGACTACTAAAACTTGCACAATTAGACTACTAAAAAGAACAGTTGTCAGCATCTGTTTTTGACGTAGTGTATGTGTGTTGATTATAATTAGGTGTAGTGTAAAAAAAAGATCTATGCTCTTGCTGATTTTTAAGAAAACTGCACCTCTTTTATTAACTTTCTTGCAAATTGATGTAATGAATCCATTGCATGATAAACATAAATTAGAGTAAGCAATTAGAGATGCTTGAATTCTAAGGTTCAATTCAAACAAAAGGGGTCTTGGTTAGAGGAAGATTGACTTAGACTTGGAGGACATACACATGTTTAAATCTTTTCACAAATATCATGGACTAACAAGTAAATTTTTTTTTTACAAAAAGTTCATTTCTTTATGTTGTGAGTGTATTAAGGTTCATAAAGTAAGTACTCTATATGAATTTAAGTATAAGGCAAGATTTTGTCATATAAAAATACTCAAATTAACATGATAGACCGTTAGACACACCAAATTAAAACACAAGTTGAGTTTCTCCCTTTGGCGGCATGAAAGCCACCCCTAAGAGCTTGATGGAAGTCACTTAGGTTTGATTCTCAAGTTCTACATTGTATTAGAGTTGTAGGGGTTCATGTGTTGGCATTAGCCAACTCATCAATGGTGGAAAAAAATTACTCCCTCCGTCCGGAAATATTCTTCCCATTTGACTTTTTACGATCTCCAAAGTTACACGCACTTTGACCGCTAATATCTTTATTTATACATGAATATATTTTATAAAAATTTAATATTTGAAACTATATTTCAAAATGAATATATTCATATTATAGCTATATCCTAATATTGTTGGGGAATTGATGCGTGTCTCGACCTCTTTCCCCGATTCACACAACCCAACTCTTGTACACTCACACACACACTCAATAATACAAAGACACGACTTTAGAAAAAGACTTTGTATTATATAGAGAAAATGTACAAGAGAGATTACAATTACACGGGTAGCACACTTCAATCTTTGTATTAGGAACACCTCACTCACAAGCACTCTCAAGAAGCCTTCTTGGTTCTTTACTCTCTTCTTCCTCCACACTCCTTGCCAAATGAGGCATCCACACCCCTATTTATACTCCTCACCAAGGCTAAGCTTCTCTAGAATGTTCCACACATCTCTTAACTCTAGAATCTTCTAGAAAGTCTCCACATACTTCCATAATGTTCTAGAAGAATCTAGAGAACTCCACATAGTTCTAGAATATTCTAGAGAACACTATATTCTTCCACACGCTTCTAGAGACTTCCACGCTTCTCTAGAAAGCTCTAGGATATTCTAGAAACTTCTACACTATTCTACACATTTCTAGAGACTACTACACTTCTCTAGAAAATTCCATAACACTCTAGAGAATTCTACACATCTCCATAAACTTCTAGAATTCTCTAGAATCTTCTCTCCCACAAACCTTTGGAAATATTGAATTAATATCCTAACAAATACAATGTATTTTTTCCACATATCATAGTCAAAGTTTACAAACTTTGACCAAGAAAAGTCAAATGAGAAGAATATTTCCGGAGGGAGGGAGTATGTTTTTTGTAATCAATGGTGGGGAAAAATTATGTTCTTTTTGAATTGTAGAATCAAGATCAGTAATTCAAGTTTTTTAAATTAATGTAGGGGAGATAATTCATAAAAACACTAATGTTTTTATATACGTTTTTTAAAATTTATGTAGGAAAGAATGTTTTGTAGAAATTAAGTAAACCTAAGCCCATGTTTGGATGGGGTGATTTTGGAGAGAAAGAAAATAGAAGGGAAGAAAACACAGTTTTCAATAAAGTTTCCTTTGTTTGGTTACGAATGAAAATGGGGGAAGGAAAGAAATTATGAAAGGCGCCGCCCCAAAAAATTTTCCCCGCTCAAGTGGCGAGAAAATGTGCGGATCGAAGAGAAAACTAGTGAATTGACAGATTTGCCCTTCATTCCATAGTACTCCGTATATTTCAAAACCTATTTCTCAACTTGCCCTATCGGATCTTTTTCTCAGCAACTCGTTTCCGCCGCATCTTCCGATTGTCTCAGCCGCATCTCAGGTCATCTCCTCAGCTTTGTCTCGATCTTGCTTGGCTTTGCTCTATAAATTTTTAGGCTTGCTGGTGTTTTTTTTCCGCCCAAAGCTCTAATTTTTTTATTGATTTTTTTTTAATCTTAATTATAGATGCAACCATTTTTTGCATACGATTGTGTGTTTCATCCAATTTTTTATCCACCTTTTTTTAAATTTTTCATTTTTTACATATTCTTGTCAATATTCTTTTTCCCCTGTATTATTAATATTTTTGAGTCATAATTATGAATATTTTTTTTATAGTTTTGACTCATGGATAACTTTTGTAAAAATATTCTCCCTTTATGCTTAGCTAATTAAACAGTATAGACTTTTGTAAAAATATTCTCCCGTGGGGAGAATATTTTAAAAATTTTAAATGTTAAAAACGAAATTTATTTAAAAATTATTTTGTACAGCTGACCAATTAATTTAAGTTCTTAAAATTTTGAATTTGACAGAAGTATAATGTATACGTAGTACTTCATATACTGTATAATTATATCCTCCATATATCTTTTTTCAATTATAAAAAGCAAGGGCATAAATGTCTTTTTGGCTTTATCATCTTTTCTTTCCTTTACATTTTCACTTCATTTTCCACTCATCCAAACAACAATAATTTCCTTCTCATTTTCTCTTCATTTTCTTTCCTCTCTATTTTCTTTCCACTCATTTTCACCTCTTATCCAAACAATGGCTAAATGATTTGTATTTGATGTTTATATGAAATGCCCCATAAAAAGTCAACTAGGTTTAATTTCTCACATTATATAATCACAAACCATTCCGTTCTAACCCGTGCATGGCACGGGTAAAATGCTAGTAAATTTAAAACATAAGTGACTAACCATTTTTAAAGATACATGACTAACCATTTGTTAAATCACTTAAAAAAGAACCGTCAGAATCTGTTACTGTGTATTGACTTGATGTACAAAATCTTTTTAGACTTCTTCTGTCTTGTTGATATATATCTTACTTATAAGTTATGGCTTGTTGATATAAATTTTACTTATATTATAAATCTTCTTTATTTCAAAACGGGTGACAAAGAATGTTTATCTTCTTTACTTAAAAATAAATAAATCTTCTTTATTTTGAGTTACAGTATTTCATTTTTTAAATTACGGCTTTTTGATATAAATCTTATATATATATATGTATATATATATATATGTGTGTGTGTGTGTGTGTGTGTGTGTGTGTATATATATAGTATTTGATAAATAAAAATTTATTGCATAATGGAAAGAAATAAGCGATTACAACAATGTGGGAGAAGGGTTCTACCCACCGAAAAGAGAACTACCGAACTTATTACAAAAATCGGACCTCAGGCTACGCCTCCCACGTCCATGGAAAGAGAGGACGAACGATAGGCCACTTCCTATGAATAATAAAACCTGTACATAGACAATGAACCAGCAGTTGTATAGGACAATACCTCCACTTGATTCCACCAAAGATGTCCTCCCGATCACTCATAGTCAATGAGGTGAGCACACATGGTCCTTATAATTGGTTCGTCAATGTTTGCACAGCAAAGCAGAACCGGATGTCGTGTACATCTCAACTTAATTGCCCGAATGGATTGTGCACTCTTCATAGCATCCCTTTTAGCTTTGAGTGCTTTACCCTCCAGTGTCGTAACTAGGCCCTTCTGAATCTTCTCCTTGACGAAAGGGGAGCGTATTGCTTCTTTAATGACCCAAAGAGCTTGCTCAAAATCCTCGTTAATATGTTGTTCAAACAAGGGCAAAAGAAGCTCAAATTCTTTTTGTAGATCACCTCTTGCTGATTTATCTTCTATTTCATCAATCATTAATAAATTAATCTCTGTTAGAATAGGTACATCCAAACTTGTGTCTTGCACTTCCGGAGCTGTCTTAAACTGACCGTCTATAATAAGTTGTTCATCAGAGTTTAAGAGGAAAGGCTCTACAAACGCATGGAACCTGCAGCTGCTTCCAAACCATCTTGACCGTCTAGAAGAACTAGCTGTTGCTGGGTACTAGAAGTCTCCTCTTTGCTTGGAATGGCAGTGTGACCAGAGACTATAATTTCTTCCACTTTTTGACCATTTGATTGCACTTCCTTGCAATGAATTGTTCTATTCTCCAAATCATGAGTAATGGAAGCTATAGCCGTTTGGACTGCCTTAATGAAAACAGTTAAGTTCTAAGAGTATCCTGATTACTCCACTTGGACCTCGTTGTCCATAATTCAAGAATCATTAAAGCGTCATGCTAACCTCATCATTTTCGGGAGTCACTATATCTCAGTAGGAACGGAGGGATGTTAAGTCGGTGATCCGGCTTGCCCCCACAGTGACCGTGCTTCATTCCACAAGTAGGTTGTCCCATTGAACCCAGGTTCCACCTAGGTTGGGTTTTCCTTCATGGAACGTTCCCAGCACAGGGTAGGGCTTTCAGACCCATTCCTACCACTAACTTCTCATGTTGCTCATTGGTTAAGCCTTTGGTTAATGGATCCGCTAAATTATCCTTCGACTTGACATAGTCAATCGAGATGATACTCGTATTGAGAAGTTGCCTGATGGTTTTGTGTCTACGGCGAATGTGCCTAGACTTACCATTATATAATTTGTTTTGAGCTCTTCCTATTGCTGACTGACAGTCACAATAAATGCAAATAGGAGGAACTGGTTTTTCCCAGTTTGGAATATCCTCAAGTAAATTCTGAAGCCACTCGGCATGTTCTGCACACTTGTCTAGTGCTATGAACTCAGATTCCATGGTGGATCTGGCAATTAATGTCTTTTTTGAGGATTTCCAGGAAACAGCTGCACCGGCTAGCATAAAGACAAATCCACTTCTTGATTTTGAATCGTTATTATCCGCAATCCAATTGGCATCAGTGTATCCTTCCAGTACAGGTGGATACCTACCGTAGCATAGGCTATAATCTCGAGTATACCAAAGGTATCTCATTACTCGGACTATGGCCTTCCAGTGCTCAGCACTCGGATTGCTAGTATACCTACTTAGTTTGCTAATGGCGCAAGCTAAGTCTGGCCGTGTGCAGCTCATCAAGTACATCAGACTTCTGATAACTCTAGCGTATTCTGTCTGAGAATCGCTGCTCCCTCGGTGCTTACCAAGATGAACATTTACGTCTATCGGCGTCTTAGCTATCTTTGTATCATCCTTGTTAAATTTCTCAAGGATCTTGTCAATGTAGTGGGATTGGCTCAAGCTCAGACCATCTGGTCTTCTTAGTATTTTGATTCCAAGAATCACATCAGCCAGACCCAAATCTTTCATATCGAATCGTGCGTTCAACATGTCCTTGGTGGACTTGACCATCCTATCGTTGCTTCCAACGATGAGAATGTCGTCTACGTACAGACATAAAATGACATACCCTTCAGATGTGTCCTTAAAGTATACGCACTTATCCGACTCATTTATCTTAAAACCGTTGCTCATCATTACCTCGTCAAACTTATCATGTCATACTTTTGGCGCTTGTTTAAGACCGTATAATGATTTCACAAGTTTGCAAACCTTCTTTTATTGGCCTGGACTTTAAACCCTTCGGGTTGTTCAATATAGATTTCTTCATCTAGTTCGCCATTTAGAAAAGCTGTCTTCACATCCATTTGGTAAACATCCAAGTTTCGTAAGGATGCAAATGCGATGATCATTCTGATAGAATCTATCCTGGTCACAGGTGCGTAAGTATCAAAGTAGTCATAGCCCTCGCGTTGGCTATACCCCTTGATCACAAGTCTAGCTTTGTACTTGTCAATGGAGCCGTCAGGCTTCATTTTCCTCCGAAAGACCCATTTGGAACCTAATGGCTTACACCTTGGAGGGAGATCAACCAGTTCCCACGTGTGATTCTGAAGGATAGAATCAACTTCACTCTTTATGGCATCTTGCCACTGAGGTCCCTCAGTTGAGGTTACGGCCTCGTAATAGGTTCGTGGTTCTTTTTCTACCAAACAGGTTAGAATATCGGGTTCATTTTCCATTAGAAATGACAAAGTTCCTTTGTCAAATTCTATCAGATATGTTATGAAGTCAGAACCGAACGTCTTTTCAGTTCGTATTCTTTTACTTCGTCTCAATTCAGTCTCATGTTCGACTTCATCATCGTCACCGGAATTCGACTGATTTGGATCATCGTTATCCATCATCTCAGTATGAGAACGTTTGGACGAGCTAGCTTCGTCACTTGACTTGCACGGAAAAATGTGCTCGAAAAACGTAGCATTCCGTGACTCAATGATCGTGTTCTTGTGAATTTCAGGATTATCTTATTTGTACACCAAGAACCGGTATGACGTACTATTGTACCCGATGAAGATTCCATCAACTGTTTTTGGACCGATCTTCATCTTCTTTGGTGGTGGTGCAAGTACTTTCGCGAGGCACCCCCACACTTTGAGATACTTGTAGGAAGGTTTCCTATTATGCCAAAGTTCATACGGAGTTTTGTCAAGTTTCTTACGAGGTATTTTATTTAGTAAATAATTACTTGATAAAACAGCCCCCCCCACATGTTCTGAGGTAATCCAGAACTAAGCAGCATCGCATTCATCATGTCTTTTAGAGTGCGATTCTTGCGCTCCGCTACTCCGTTAGACTGTGGTGTATACGGTGGGGTTACTTGATGCACAATTCCATGTTGTGCACAAAACTTAATTAAGTGGAGCATCATACTCACCACCTCTATCGCTTCTCAATGCTTTTATCTTGCGATTGAGTTGATTTTCCACTTCGTTCTTATAACGAACGAAAGTGTCTAACGCTTCATCTTTACTTTTTAGTAAATAGATATAGCAATATTTCGTGCTATCATCGACGAAGGTAATAAAGTACTTATTACCCCCTCTTGAAGGCGTTGTTCGAAAATCACACAAGTCGGTGTGAACCAACTCTAGAGGTTGAGTGTTCCGTTCGATCGTTTGAAACGAACCTCGAGTTGACTTAGCCTCAACACAAGTTTCGCACTTGTGGGTTTGGTCAATACTAAACTTAGGTATGTGTTCCATGTTAATTAATTTTCGGAGAGATGCATAATTAACATGTCCTAGTCTGCCGTGCCATAAACTAGAAGACTCACACACATAAGCAACAGGATTTTTATTGATCTTTTCATGAACAGTCATTACATTGAGCTTTACTAGCCCATCAGAAATGTAACCCTTCCCAATAAAAATCCCTTTCTTGGATAAGATTAGCTTGTCTAATTCAAACACCATCCGAAAGCCGTGTTTGATCAGCAATGACCCTGACACTAAATTCTTGCGAATGTCTGGGACATAGAGCACGTCGTTGAGCGTGAGCTCCTTGCCGGAAGTCATTTTCAGCTTGATCTTTCCAATCCCTTGAACATCTGATTAGGCCGAATTGCCCATCCACACCTTGTCACCGGAGCTCTCTTGAAAGTCGTGAAACATGCTCCGATTTGAACAAATATGACGTGTGGCTCCTGTGTCCACAAACCATTCCTTCGGGTTTGACCCGACGAGATTTACCTCGGTGACAACCGCGTAGAGGTCCAAGTTTTCAAGCTCCGCACACATGGCTTCAGTGGTTTTCTTCATTCCCTTTTGTGGCTTCTTTTTCCTACAATCAGAGGAACGATGCCCGGTAATTCCACAATTGTAGCACTTTCCTGCAAGTTTAGAAACTCCACCTTTAGGACCCATCTTCTTTTTGTCCTTCCCGCCATGTGAAGAGCCCGACGGATGTTCTACAACATTCGCCTTCGCACCTCCACTTCTTCTAGCAAGCCCCTCCTCTCTGATTCTCAGTCGTGTGAGCAGTTGCTCCAGGTTTAGCTCTGTTCTTTTGAGCTTGAGGTCGACTTGGAAGTCTTCCCACGATCGGGGAAGTTTGTGGATGATGGCTGCCACTTGGAATTCCTCACTGACGCCTACTTTCTCTTCATTTCATTTATTGAAGATGACCGTAAGCTCTTCAGCTTGGGCGACAACAGATTTGCTGTCAACCATCTTGTAGTCCAGCATCTTCCCGACGATGAACTTCTTCGTGCCGGCATCTTCAGCTTGATATTTCTTGTTCAAGCCGTTCCAAAGCTCTTTTGCAAGCTTAGCACTGGCATAGACGGGGTACAACGTATCTCCCAGCCCTTCAAGAATAGTATTTATGGCGAGATAGTTGTTGTGGTACCACACTTGGTTCACCATCGCCACAAGGGGGTCGTTGGCTTCATTGGGCTGGGGGGGGTCTTGCTGTAGGTACTCAGCAAATCCCAGGACGGTCAAGAAGAACATCATCTTTTGTTGCCACATCTTGAAGTTAGTCCTATTGAACTTCAGTGGCCTTTGAACCGAATTAGCGGGCACCGAAATCGGCCCAACTGCATTGGGCGTGTGGAGGAAAGGCCCGTTAGTCGCCCAATGGGGTCCAACGAATGGATTGACCGGTGTGGGGAAACTCGTGTTCGGTCCTACGTTGACCGGTGTGGGAAAGCCCGCGTTCGGTCCAAAGTTGACCGTCGAGGCCGAAGCCGTAGTCGGTCTGAGAAACGGGTTCGAATTACCGACGGGGTGATCCCCCGTGGTTTCGAGCCCGGGAATGGGTCGAGGGGCCGACCCGAAGATCGAGCTCGGCATTGAAAATGACGTCATGGTTGCCGCCCCTACACTTGCCCTGAAGGGTAGTGGTGAGGACGGCACAACCATGGCTACCGAAGAGGTTTCCACCGGAATTTCGGAACTCATTCCCTTACCGGACGGCACAACCATGATGCCGAATCCGAACTCATTTCGGAACTACACACACACACACACACACACACACACACACACACACATATATATATATATATAGACACACACACACACACGTTTGTATGTATTGATTAACTTATTTGCATGAACGTTTAGCCTCTAATGAGAGTACAGTGTGATATACTTGAATCTGGCTCAAAAATCAGCAAGAAACAAAGCCAGGGGTATTTTTTTGATTTAGGGAAATATTGTGTAGTGAAATTAAGTAGTGAGCCCACCCAAAAGAAGTTTTTTCATCACATCTCATACCTTTGTTTGATTCAAAGTCCCTCACATTTTTGAATGTGATTCTGGAACTTTTTGAAAGCCTTCTCATTGCTTCAAATCAGGTTTCACAGAGTTCCTGTGAGTATGAACACATGTATTCACTTTTTAAATGCATAAGCTCTAAAATAAAGCCATAATGAATTAAACAATGCTTTGAAAAAGCTTCTTGAAACAACACCCTTTGTATAGATTCAGGTCATTAAGAGTTAGATTATTTATGTGATTCAAATGCTTTATTCACTACTCTATTTATCTTAGTTTAAAATTGTTGTAGTTTACATTATTAAGAAGTTCATATTTTGAATAAAAAATTTGTCTATTTGGTTTTCAAATTTCTTCTTTTCGGGTCTTTTAATATGAGCATGAATCCTTGTACCCTGTAAGAAATGATAAGAATTAATGAAATGAAAATAATTAGAACAGATGATTAGAAGTACGTGAATATTTCAAAATAGAATTGGAAAGAAAAAAATACATGTTCGTCATGGAAGATGACTTCCATGGAATCGTCTCCCTTCGCCCAAGCCGGAACGTGGTAAACACGATAGCGCGCAACTTTAGGATCCATGCGGTGCGAGTATTATCAATTTTGTTGAGGGAGTTCCACATCACACTTTGTGTTGTTTTGGACATCCTTACAATTTGACCGTGCAAATGAAGTGCTTAGACTGTGCAAGGTGAAGGGGTATAAATACCGTCTCATAAATCAAAACTCAACTAATGCATTAAATACCCTCCTACTTTAAAGATTTCTAAAATCTATTAATTTAATTTGGAAGTGACATAAAGGTATTGATTTTGTTTGAATTGACATATTGAAAAAAAGAGTTTAAGTTACCAAGAAAAATAATCATTTTGGGAGTGTAAAGCATGCAACCTCTTCCCTAGAAAGGTGCTCACGTGTTTCAAGAAATTTTGCAGAGTACCTTTCGGCCCAGGGACAGCAGCTCAAGGAATTTTGCAGGATTAGTTTTTGGCCCAGGGACAGCAGCCCAATACCAGAGAACCGGCCCATCAATTTTTGGCGGGAACACTGTAGAAATCCTCCTCACACCATTGTATAGATAGAGATCTTGAGGGAGTTTATGTAATTTGTTTTCATTTAGTTGGTTTTTTCTCTTTTGGACTGGTTTGGGTTGTACGGGTTGACCACCCCACTTGGTTGTACTTTTACTTTTGTTTTAATAAAAATATTATTTAATATAAAAAAATAAAAAATAATATATATATATATATATATACACACACACACATATACATATATATATATATATATATATATATATATTATTGAAAGGATTATTTTATTAGAAATAGAAATGCAAAAGGAGGGGGTGGCCAAAACTAGGGGTGGGCACGGGCCGGTCCGGGTCAAGAATTCTATAAACCGGACTCGGCTTGTTTTTATTTAAACGGTCCGGGCCGGAACGGGTTTTCAAAATTTTAAAATTGAAACCGGACCTAACCCGGCTTGTTCGAAACGGGCCGATTCCACGGGTCAACGGGTCGAAAACATTTCATCATACATTAGTCAAATGTGTTCAATTATATCAGAGGTTTTCAAATGAAAAAAGGATTACGAACAAAATAAATGTATTCAATTTAGTTAAACAAACAAACAAATTGAAAAGTACAGTTATATTTGATGATTTCTAACTGTTGTTTCTAGAGGATTTCAAACATTTCTTTTATGGAATGAATGGAGTAAGCTTTATAATCTGTATAATTATTGTTCTTTGAATTCTGGAACTAGTTTATGCAGAGTATTGCTTATATGGCCTAGTGAACTACTTACTCATGGAATTTCCTTCTCAGTACCTAAATTAAGTTCACATTTTTCACCAAGTTTACCCGTTGGAAAGAAGGAAAATGATAACGGAGTATTTTTTTTAATGATGCAGGTTTTCCCCATTTGCGGCCTTTACGGGTGTCCTGGTTTTTCAAAAGTCCTCTCACAGTTTCTTGTTTCCAACTTCTGGTGTATCATAGATAGAAAGAATCATGTTTTTGATAGGCGATTTGGATCGGATCTGGACGCATAGATCTCCAACCTAAAAACTTCTGAACTCCATAAAAAACATTATTTTGACAAGTTTCATTGAATCTTCTCTCATAAATGGTCGAATACTGCTTAGATAAAAGCCCAACTGAATAGTTCCTTAGTTTCGATCCCCCCCCCCCGACTTAAAAAAATCGAAACCGAAGAAGATGATCACAGTTTACGGATAAACACAGAGATTCGCAGCGTTAGAGTAAAGAGATAGAGTCATAGAGAGTACCAGGGATTGACGGGCCAGAGACGAGTTGCGATAGGGGAATTCGTGTCCGGACACCACTGGTCACGCAGCGCTTCAGAAGCTCGACCTCGTCGTGTATGCCCCGGAAGCTCCGTCTCTCCGTCTCATAGCCTGTGCTCGTCTCTGCATGTGCTCCGATTCACAGATTAGCCGCTGCAAAGGGTTCTGAAGGTCTGGCTTCTGGGACCGAAAGGATTGGGAGTTGGGAGATTGGGTAGGGCTTTGGCCCAAGTAAATGAGTAATACGGATAATAATATGGATTACTACGTATTAACTAATGGTCCGGTCCGGTTCCTGGAGAATTTTAAAATTGAGAACCGGACCGGCATAAGGCTCGGACCGGACCGACCCGTTATAATTTTTTTAAAAATGGACCCGCCCCTAACCCGGACCGAACCTGTCGGTTCGGTTCCGACTCACGGTTCCAGGACTCGTTTGCCCACCCCTAGCCAAAACCCCAACAAGATGGCCAATCAAAGTCAAAAGAGGACATATGAAGGGAAACAAACAAATCACCAAAAGGCAAATACATAAAACCAAGAATATGGACTGGAAAGTTGGTGCTCCCCGTCCCATCTTGTTATTGGCTTCTTCCCTTTGGAGTAGATTCTATGGATACTTGCAAGAAAACAAACGGTGGTGTCCCATGGTGGAATGATTTCTGTGAGAGGATGATCTTAATGCCATCCATGAGTACCAAGAGATTTCCCTTAGAGAAAATGCTAGGTCCCAACTGATTTTGTACCAAAGAGCTGTTTCCAAATTCCTGTACCAAAGAGCTGCTTCCAAATTCCAGCTGTGGAGTTCGCATTCCAGAAAACCAAGGGTAGTCCTAGAATCTGAAGTTTAGAAGCTGGAGCCAAAAACATGAAGCCTAAAAAGGCCTTAACAAATGCAATCTGGCCTCACTAAACTTTGAAGTAAATTCAAAAGAAGCAACGAATCAAACAAACCATGTAACTCCACAAAGTTCTGATCAGCAATTGAGTAAAATAAGAAAAAATCACAGTAAATGTAGCCATCTACTCAAACCAACTTAATACGAATCTTTATTTCGAGCTTTCAAGTCTGAGAGGCGTTTGCTTCTTCTTGGGAATGTTGTATCCTGGATTTGCAAGCAAATTTGGTTGAATTTTTTATTATTTCTCTTTATACTTGCCTCTTTTTTGGCATGCCAATCTTCGTCTTCAGAACCTCTATCTATCTCCCATTCCTCTTCGGATGAAGGGGGTTTAAGATATTTTCCAGAATGTTTGATCTCAGGCCCCGAGTTATAACACACATTATAACCCCATTGTGAAGAATCCAGGTCATTGTCTGAATTTGAGCATCCTAAGAAATGAGGGGGGTTGGCTAGGGTGGTAGGATCAGAATTTTTAGGGGTGAAGTCTTGGGCAGAGGCTGAGAGTAAATTGGCACGAGTTTGGGGCAAGGTTGGGGGAGGGGGAGAAGATTCATGGGCTGGTAACAAGCTTGAACATTGAAAGGCTGCCCTCTGTAAAGGCTTATGGGAATCCTAACACATGGTAATTCACAAGAGAGAAGAATGGCAGAGATGGAAAGAGGTGGTTGGTATGCTGGTTTAGAAACCGAGGCACACACCACAGCCATATCCACGAAAGGAGGGGGAGGGGGAACGAATGTTTGAAGAAAATCAAAAGTTTTCTTAAAATAAGAGGTGAAGGATGCAAAGCCATACCCTTGAGAGCCTTCAGGGATGAAAACCCAGATTTTCCCATCCTGATGAAATTCACACAATTTGTATTGAAGATAATTGACTCCTATTTATTTGATATTGTATCTTTGTGTGAATAATTGTATTTATTTAATTGTAGTTATTTATGGTAGTTTAGATCACCCAAATCTCTTGTACAAGGCTATATATATTTGGCCTAACTCTTAATGGTAATTGAGAATAATTATTCCATATATGGTATCAGAGCTTTAAAGGAATTTTTTTTCCTCCCAAAACCTAGCGCTGTAACCCAAGCGCTGTGCGTCCATCGCCGGCCACCTTCAAGCCTTTTTTCAACGATCTCCGGCTTTTCTCGTCGCCTCCCATGGCACCCACCATCACCAAGGACACCCCCGTGGTTCAACTCCACGCCAAGACGCACTTTCTTATCAAATTGATCTCCACCAACTTCTCCATATGGCAGCGCCAGGTTCGCTCCACGCTCATCGCTCTTGATCTCATCGGGTATGTCGACGGCACTCTCCATGCGCCACAGAAAGTCCTTGAAGGAGCGGCCAATCCTTGCTATTCTATATGGTTCCGTCAAGATCAATCTATCATTGGAGCCTTACTTGGCAGCTGTTCCGATCAGGTCCAGCCGCTTATCTCAACCTGTGAAACCGCGTGTGAGGCTTGGACGAATCTTCATGCTGCCTTTGCCAGTTCCAGCCGCAGCCGCATCGTTTCCCTCAAATCACAATTAGGCAAAAACCCTAAAGGTGAGCGTTCCATGTCCGATTATCTCTTTGATATGCAATCCATTGCCAATGAACTAGCGTTGGTTCAGAGTCCGGTTTCGGAGGAAGATCTTGTTGTTCATGTCCTCAACCAAGTGGGTGATGAATATGACTCCATCACCTCTGCTGCCCGTGTTCGTGCCGAACCACTTTCGTTCAAAGAACTTGGGGACATTCTAAAGGAGCACGAAAAGAAAATTCAGCTGTCAGAAGCCACTCGCACTTTGTCCCTCGCCACTGCCAATTACACTCAGCAGCAGTCTGGTGGAGGTGGGAGTTCTCGGTTTGGTCAGCATCACCGTGACGGAGGTCGTGACAGTGGTTCCTCCGCAAACCGTCGCGGTCGTGGGCAGACGGCTGGCAGGCCTGCACGGCAAACCGCGGGCAGTGGATGCCAATTCTGCTCCATCCCAGGTCATGATGTTCGAGATTGTCGGAAGCTCGCCCGCTTCCTTCGTCAACATGGTCTTGCTCCCCCACCTGTGGCTCACTCCACAGGGGTCTATCCGGCTACAGCTCCTCTGCAGTGGTTGTTTGATTCTGGAGCTAGTCACCACACTACGCCTTCTACTCAGTCGCTTCATTCCTTTTCTGACTACGGTGGTCCAGATGAGATCCGTCTGGGTAATGGTAACAGTCTTCGCATAACTCATACTGGCTCCACTTTACTTCCTACCCCTTCCCGTCCCCTTACTTTATCTAATGTGTTATGTGTCCCTCACTTGCATCATAATCTGGTTTCCGTCTCTCAACTTTGCCAAACTAATCATGTCTCTGTTGAATTTTTCCCCTTTTCGTTTCATGTGAAGGATCTAAAAACGGGGGGAAACTCCTCAGCGGGGACAATCTTGATGGGGTCTACTATGCTCGTTCTGTTCCTCCGTCTCCCCAAGTGCATGTTCTTGATGGAAGCTCTCTCCTTGACTTTCATCATCGCTTTGGTCATCCCTCTATTAAGACTTTATCTATTTTGTTGCGCCTATGTAATCGGTCTTTTCCTTTAAAGGATATTCAACAGTTTCATTGTTCTTCGTGTGCTATTAATAAAAGTCACAAATTACCTTTTCATGATATTTCCCTTGTCAGTTCTGCTCCTCTAGAACTTATTTATTCAGATGTTTGGTCGTGTAAGGAACGCACTGTCGATGGTCATCTCTATTATGTTATTTTTGTGGATCACTATACTAAATATGTGTGGCTATATCCGCTTTCCCCCAAATCTGATGTTTTTAAAGTTTTTCCTCAATTCAATTATTTGGTGGAAAACTTTTTTAAACGCAAAATTGTTACCATTTTTCTGATAATGGGGGTGAATTCATTAAACTGCGTCCCATGCTTGCCACTTTTGGCATATCCCATCTTACCACACCACCTCATACTCCATAACACAATGGTTCAGCAGAGCGACGTCATCGTCACATCGTTGAGACTGGCCTCTCTCTGCTCCATCATGCACAAATGCCTCTCAAATACTGGTCCTTTGCCTTCCTCACTGCTATTTACCTTATTAACCATATACCTACTCCCGTTCTTGATTCTGCGTCTCCTTACCAAAAACTTTTCCATACCCTGCCCAACTATCTCAAACTTCAACCATTTGGGTGCCTCTGTTATCCGTGGCTGCGTCCTTACAACACCAACAAACTTCAGCCTCGGTCCTCCCCATGTGTCTTTGTGGGCTACTCCACGTCTCAATCTGCGTATATATGTCTTGACCTGTCCACTAATCGTGTCTACATCTCCCGTCATGTTCAATTTGTTCCTCATATCTTTCCTTACCCATCTGTTGCTACTCCTTGCGCCCCGGACGGTCTGTCACTTCCGGCCTCCTTTCTGGTCATATCTCCTCGGTTTGCCCCGACAGCGTCCCCTCAGCCGTCAACCACCCCTGTCTCTCCGCCTTTTAACCAACCCTCCCACATGTCGGACACCATCCCTGTCCAGTCATCACCATCACCCTCTCCCGTCTCTTCTGCCTCATCGGTGACTACGTCTCTGCCACCTCGCCCAGTTCGCAATCGTTGTCCCAATGTCTGGTATTTCAACTCTGACTTCATCTCAGCTTCTCCTATCATTAATCATGCCACCAAACACCCACTTCCTCTTACCCATGAACCTAAGACTGTTGCCCAAGCTCTCAAGGATCCTCGCTGGCGGGAGGCAATGGACGCTGAGTACCAGGCTCTCCTCCGAAATCAAACCTGGACCCTTGTTCCATGCGCCTCTCAGCGGCCTATCGGGTGCAAGTGGATCTTCCGTGTGAAACGGAAAGCTGATGGCTCGGTTGAGCGTTACAAGGCACGACTAGTGGCTAAGGGTATCTTCAGGAGGCGGGTCGTGACTACTTTGAGACGTTCTGTCCGGTTATGAAGCCGGTAATCATTCGTTTGGTTCTTAGCATTGCTTTGGCTAACCACTAGCCTTTGCGCCAGCTTGATGTGAATAATGCCTTCTTACATGGCAGGTTGGAGGAACAGGTATTAATGGAGCAGCCTCCTAGTTATGTTGACCCTACCTTTCCATCTCACGTATGCAGGTTATCTCGGGCCTTGTATGGACTGAAGCAAGCTCCTTGGGCATGGTATGAGGCACTGTCTCGTTTCCTTCTACAGAGTGGTTTTCGGAAGGCCCAATCTTATGCGTCTCTCTTTGTCTATCTTCAGGATGGTATTACGGCTTACTTTCTGATCTATGTTGATGACATTATTCTTAGAGGAAGTAATTTGGAGTTTCTTGACAAGTTTGTGAGTGCCTTGGCTACTGAGTTCTCTCTCAAGGATCTAGGCCCGTTAAGTCACTTTCTTGGGGTTGATGTGATTTCCACTGGTAATGGCTTGTTTCTGTCCCAATCTCAATATATCATGGACATTCTTGATGATGATTCCATGATAGGGGCGAAGGACATAGCCACTCCCATGCAGCCTGACGCTATTCCTACACTCTCTATTGATGCTTCCCCGGTGGATGTCACGGCCTACCGCCGCCTTATTGGCCGTCTGCAGTATCTTGCTCTGACCCGACCAGATGTTTCCTTTGCCGTGAACAAGCTTGCTCAGTTCATGCATCATCCCACCGCTCGGCACTGGGCTGCTCTCAAGCATCTTCTTCGTTATCTCAAAGGCACTATTCTTCATGGCTTATTCTTATCGAAGCAGGTTCCTTCTTGGCTCACCGCCTTTTGTGATGTTGATTGGGGCGGCATCACCGATGGGGGGCAATCTACCACGGCGTATGTGCTTTATTTTGGTCCCAACATTATCTCATGGAAGTCTCAACGACAAAAAAGTGTGTCTCGGTCTTCGACGGAGGCTGAGTATCGTGCTCTTGCAAATGCAGTGGCAGAACTGCAATGGGTACAGAGTCTGCTTCGAGAACTTCACATCCCTCTGACCGAGTCTCCTATTCTTTATTGTGACAATATCAGTGCTCTTCATGTTTGCAAGAATCCGGTGTTCCACTCTCGCATGAAGCATTTAGCATTAGATTACTTTTTCGTCAGAGAGTTGGTTTCGTCTGGGGCTCTACGTGTGGCCCATGTGCGCTCTTTGGATCAGTTAGCTGACATTCTCACAAAACCGCTTCTGCGTCTTCTCTTCCACAAATTTCGGTCCAAGATTGGAGTCTCCAATGGATCCTCCATCTTGCGGGGGCGTATTGAAGATAATTGACTCCTATTTATTTGATATTGTATCTTGGTGTGAATAATTGTATTTATTTAATTGTAGTTAATTATGGTAGTTTAGATCACCCAAATCTCTTGTACCAGGCTATATATATTTGGCCTAACTCTTAATGGTAATTGAGAATAATTATTCCGTATAATTTGATGTGGTTCCTGAAACTTGAAGATTGAAAGTGTAACTGTAGCCGTCTGTGCCTGTCTCTAATGAAAGAAATAAGAATTTGTCTCAACCGTTGGATCTACTACTCAATTACTATGCCTTCCAGGACGTGAGATGGGCACATCGGTAAATTTAGTATTAAAGCATAGATCTCGCGATCTCAATCCATTGTTTCAAGATCACCGATCTGATAAACCTGCACAAGATGGCCTTCCTCCTCGCTTGCCCTTTTCCTTCAATAACTTGTTCAATCAAAACTGGCTTCTAATCTGATCATTTTTCTTATAGGGTTCATATATAAAACATGTAAGTCTTCTTCTCTGTACAAGAATTCTTTCTCTTTTTTTCGTGAGAAATTAAACAGTATCTGATTGAAGTTAGACGGGTTTGATTTTTCAATTCATTTCTTTTTCTGTTCAATTTAATCTTGTATGTTCAGTCTTTGATATTCACTTACTTGTTTTGACATAAATTGGGTTAATTTTTATATTCATTTGTTCATCCCTTCAATTTAGTCTAGTATTTTCAATCTTTGTTGTTCGATTATTATTTATTTTGCCTTGCCTTAACTTTGTTGTTCAGTGCAAGGAAAAAGTAAACAACATTGTCTAAAACTAGAGAAAAAGACTAATATATCAGAAAGCATGAGGAGACCAACAAATTACATATGTATGTAAACATGTTTCTTGGTTCAATCGTGCATAATTTCAAAATTTTATGGTTCTTTTCAAATATAGTATTTGTGCATCGTGTACTCATAATAGTACATGAAATCCAGTTTAGAGTGCATTATCTACAATGTTAGAACTAATTAGAACAGCACACTTTAGATACATATTGTTATTTACTTGGGTATAATTTTGTGGTGTAATATTTCATTTTTCTTATTTTTTGAAATACATTTGTACTCAATAATTTAGAGTTGTTATCTATAACTCTCATTTCTTTTCAAATATATTTTTTTCTGAAAAAAATTCAGAAAAGCATTTGTTACTCTACATCCTGCTTATGTTTGATTTTGCATTGTCATGGATTTTGCACTGATTCTGCTTATGTTTGATTTTGCCATCATGTTATTTATGTTTTATTTTCCCAGGATTTTGCTTATATATGTTTATTGATATGCAACATGACAGATTTGAAATTTGAGAGTGGTTCTTTTTAAATGCAATATGAGTTCTTTTATTGTGATGTGATTATAGTCTAGGATGCAGTATCGTTACATGAGGAAAAAATTTAACAACATGCTGGTGCGAGTAAATAAAAAGATGTTGCAATTGTATAAGATGAGGATGCTTACAAATAAGAAGACAATGCATTATTAATTTATGTGCAACAACTCCATTTAACTAGTGTTGTGGAACTGCCAGTTTTATTAATCTTTATGATGCCACTGCCAATTTTTCTAGTCATTACGAAACCCATAATTGATGACATGATGTAGATGCTTTTTTACTTCTTGTTCATAGTACAAGTTACACACACTTAAATATCATGTAAATACATTAAATTTTTCACACATGATAGCTTAAAAGGTAAGAATTTGAGATTTGATATAGATTGCAGTAAAGAATGTGCATGATGCATTTAAGAGAATTGTATTGAAACAAATGATGGATAGTGATGGTGATCTTAAACACAGTAGTAATGCATCCATGACTTTATCTGGTGCATTTTGACTAAGGTA